CATTGGTGTCAGTGGGAGGAATAGTGCCCCATCATTGGTGTCAGTGGGAGGAATAGTGCCCCATCATTGGTGTCAGTGGGAGGAATAGTGCCCCATCATTGGTGTCAGTGGGGGGAATAGTGTTCCATCATTGGTGTCAGTGGGAGGAATAGTGCCCCATCATTGGTGTCAGTGGGAGGAATAGTGCCCCATCATTGGTATCAGTGGGAGGAATAGTGCCCCATCATTGGTGTCAGTGGGGGGGAATAGCGTCCCATCATTGGTGTCAGTGGGAGGAATAGTGCCCCATCATTGGTGTCAGTGGGGGGGAATAGTGTCCCATCATTGGTGTCAGTGGGAGGAATAGTGCCCCATCATTGGTGTCAGTGGGGGGGAATAGTGCCCCATCATTGGTGTCAGTGGGGGGGAATAGCGCCCCATCATTGGTGTCAGTGGGAGGAATAATGCCCCATCATTGGTGTCAGTGGGAGGAATAGTGCCCCATCATTGGTGTCAGTGGGAGGAATAGTGCCCCATCATTGGTGTCAGTGGGAGGAATAGTGCCCCATCATTGGTGTCAGTGGGAGGAATAGTGTCCCATCATTGGTGTCAGTGGGAGGAATATGCCCAATAGTTGATTTAAGTGGCAGGAATAGTGCCTCAAGGGCCAGATAAAGGCAAGCAAAGGGCCGCAGTTTGGAGACCACTGTACAAGGACATCGGATACAACCTACACGTTTTGGTGGTTAGATCTCCTCTTCCTTCGAGGCCTAATAAATTGTTTGTGGACCCGTCAGTGGCCCTCACCAAAGTCCGTCGGTGGCCCTCGCCGTGGTCAGGTTACGTCAAGGTCTCCAGACACATTTTAATCTCAATCCAAGCTTTACACTGATTTGTGGTGCGATTCCTCCATAAACCGTTTTTGTGGCCCTGTAGAAGGGAGGCGTGTCCCCCGAAACGCGTCGGTGGTATCGATTGTTCTTGTCCAGTAAAGATCATAAATAAATGCCGTTTTATCTCGGTGTTCCTGCCCCCCACACATATCCAGGACAATGTACTGGGACTTTGGGTGGTCCGTGGGTCGTTGTCCTCGGGGGGTGGTGGGGGGGGGGAACCTTCCACCAACCCCGCCCAGAATGTCTATTATTAGAAGTATAATGTTTTCTCTCTTCGTTTGTTATCTCCTTTTCCTAACTCTTTGCTTCTCTCTCCCTCTCATGGCTGCCCCGCCCCCTCCTCCTAGTAAGTCCGCCTTCTTACCTCTGTGCACTGTGTGATTGGTGAATGCCGCATCGGAATGATGATGTCACTCTCTGTACTCACTGCGTCCGGCGTCACGCAATCAGCTCCGCCCTCGGGCTGTGCATGCACTGAGAGTGACAGCCTGATTCCCCTTACGGGGGGGCGGTAAAAATCTGCATGCGATAATTAACAGCACGGTGATTCTGTTTCTTTAGTCCGCACGGGGGGGGGGGGGGATGAATTCTGATTGGCTGTTGGAGTTCACTGCTTTTTTGCGTTGTCATACTAAGCCAGCATGCGTGTGTGTTTGGGTGAACGGATCCTCCCGGAAGGGATCTGTTGCGAGTGAACGGAGGGGCTAAAAACTAAACGCATTGAAAGTCGTTTTTATTGTTGAACCGCGATATGCGCAGCGAGCGTTTTGCCGCAGATCTCTGGTTTATGAGGTAAATGTGAGGCCATGATGTTCCTGTCTGTACCGCCTCCAGCTCTGCAATCGCCAATAGAATACCAGCGGAAGGAGAGCAACGCCGCCATGAACAAACCCCAGATAAGTCGGGCGCCGACTCCCAGCAGCAGACCCGTCTCCACCACCCCTGTGAGCTCCGAGAAATGCGTCAACCTACCGCGAAACCCGTCTCTACCGCAACGGAAAACACCTACCTCCAATGGCAGCCCAGGGTATGATCTGTACCAGCCAACCGACAAGTACGACAGCCAGGTAAGTCATCTGTCAGGTAAACTGTTCTGACTAACTCCGCCCCTTCTACCTGTGTACCCATTGTTCTCTAATCCCGCCCCTTCTACTTGTGTACCCATTGTCCTGCAATCCCACCCCTTCTACCTGTGTACCCATTGTCCTGCAATCCCACCCTTCTACCTGTGTACCCATTGTTCTCTAATCCCGCCCCTTCTACCTGTGTACCCATTGTTCTGCAATCCCACCCCTTCTACCTGTGTATTCATTGTTCTCTAATCCCGCCCCTTCTACCTGTGTGCCCATTGTTCTCTAATCCTGTCCCTTCTACCTGTGTGCCCATTGTTCTGTAATCCTGCCCCTTCTACCTGTGTATCCATTGTTCTCTAATCCCGCCCTTCTACCTGTGTACCCATTGTTCTCTAATCCCACCCCTTCTACCTGTGTACCCATTGTTCTCTAATCCCACCCCTTCTACCTTTGTACCCATTGTTCTCTAATCCCTTCCCTTCTACCTGTGTACCCATTGTTCTCTAATCCCACCCCTTCTACCTGTGTACCCATTGTTCTCTAATCCCTCCCCTTCTACCTGTGTACCCATTGTTCTCTAATCCCTCCCCTTCTACCTGTGTGCCCATTGTTCTCTAATCCCTCCCCTTCTACCTGTGTGCCCATTGTTCTCTAATCCCTCCCCTTCTACCTGTGTGCCCATTGTTCTCTAATCCCGCCCCTTCTACCTGTGTACCCATTGTTCTCTAATCCCTCTCCTTCTACCTGTGTACCCATTGTTCTCTAATCCCACCCCTTCTACCTGTGTACCATTGTTCTCTAATCCCGCCCCTTCTACCTGTGTGCTTATTGTTCTCTAATCCCGCCCCTTCTACCTGTGTGCCCATTGTTCTCTAATCCCGCCCCTTCTACCTGTGTACCCATTGTTCTCTAATCCCCCCTTCTACCTGTGTACCCATTTTTCTCTAATCCCACCCCTTCTACCTGTGTACCCATTGTTCTCTAATCCCGCTCCCTCTACCTGTGTACCCATTGTTCTCTAATCCCACCCCTTCTACCTGTGTACCCATTGTTCTCTAATCTTGCCCCTTCTACCTGTGTGCTTATTGTTCTCTAATCCCGCCCCTTCTACCTGTGTGCCCATTGTTCTCTAATCCCGCCCCTTCTAACTGTGTGCCCATTGTTCTCTAATCCCGCCCCTTCTACCTGTGTACCCATTGTTCTCTAATCCCCTCTTCTACCTGTGTACCCATTTTTCTCTAATCCCGCCCCTTCTACCTGTGTACCCATTGTTCTCTAATCCCGCTCCTTCTACCTGTGTATCCATTGTTCTCTAATCCCTCCTCTTCTACCTGTGTACCCATTGTTCTCTAATCCCCCCTTCTACCTGTGTACCCATTGTTCTCTAATCCCACCCCTTCTACCTGTGTACCCATTGTTCTCTAATCCCTCCTCTTCTACCTCTGTGCCCATTGTTCTCTAATCCCACCCCTGCTACCTGTGTACCCATTGTTCTCTAATCCCACCTGTGTTTTATCCCGCCCCTCCTACCTGTGTAACCATTGGTGTTTAACCCTGCCCTTGCTACCCGTGTTTAACCATTGGTGTCTAATCCCACCCCTTCCACCTGTGTTTAACCATTGGTGTCTAATCCCGCCCCTTCTATCTTTGTAACCAATGGTGTCTAATCCCGCCCCTCCTGTTTATGTAACCATTGGTGTTAATCCCGCCCCTCCTTCCTATGTAACCATTGGTGTCTAATCCCGCCCCTCCTTCCTATGTAACCATTGGTGTCTAATCCTGCCCCTCCTACCTATGTAACCATTGGTGTCTAACCCCGCCCTTCCTACCTATGTAACCATTGGTGTCTAATCCTGCCCCTCCTACCTATGTAACCATTGGTGTCTAACCCCGCCCCTCCTACCTATGTAACCATTGGTGTCTAACCCCTCCCCTCCTACCTATGTAACCATTGGTGTCTAACCCCGCCCCTCCTACCTATGTAACCATTGGTGTCTAACCCCGCCCCTCCTACCTATGTAACTATTGGTGTCTAACCCCGCCCCTCCTACCTATGTAACCATTGGTGTCTAACCCCGCCCCTCCTACCTGTGTAACCATTGGTGTCTAACCCCGCCCCTCCTACCTGTGAAACCACCTGTTTGATCCCGCCCCTTCTGCCTTATTTGGGGTGGTGTTTGCTGAGACTTTTACTGAGGGAATGAAGGTGTCACTACCAGAGCCCACATGTACCATGTACAGGCAGCCAGTGGAGGGTTTCGAGCGGCCCCCCTCCAGCCTGTAGGGTCCCAGTACCCCCTGATATGGCGCTGACTGTTGCGGTGGGATGGGGGGGGGGGGGTTATGTATTCAGCATTCCCAGTCTGGAGGAAATCTGTTCACTCCTTTCCAGCGTCTGCCATTCCTTACCTATGAAAAGTCGAATTGCCTGGCTGTCACGCTGATCGTCTGTCTTCATCACTGCATTGCCCCTGTGGACCGGATATCCATGTCTGGGGAATCGGAGCAAAGTCTGCTGTCCTTGTTTATTCTTCTTCTGGGTCATTCTCTTCCAGCACTGAAGCCAGAAAGTCAGCATGACAGCCAGGAAACCAGCATGACAGCCAGGAAACCAGCATTTCCAGAACGAAAAGTCAGCGATTTCAACCTTCTGCTTACATAATCAAGCCCCGCCTGGTGCCCCTCCATGGTAGGCTGAGACAGGAACCAGAAAATGCTGACATTCAGGTCATTGGAGATATGGACCCCCCAGCTAGCCAGGTGCACTAGATGAATGTCGGGGTGTATGTGACGGCACAGAGACCTCTAAGTGAATGTAAATGTGCAATTTCTGTGTTTCTCCGGAGTGCCCCTTTAATCCGATCCCATCTTCTGTCTCCTTTACGTTTCTTTCCCTCCTGGTATAACCTGTTGCGGTCCCGGTGTGTTGCCGTTGAACAGCTCGGTGGCGATTCCCGCTTGTGTTAACGTCCGTTCTCTCCTCCTCCCCCCTCCCCTCCCCCCCTCCTCCATCCCTCAGCACGAGGTGTCCGGCTGTAACGGAACGGCGTCCATGGCGATTGTTCAGGATTACTATGCACTGAAAGAGAACGAGATCTGCGTCTACCAGGGCGAGATTGTACAAATCCTGGCCATCAACCAGCAGAACATGTTCCTGGTCTACCGGCCCGCCAACGACCACTCCCCGGCGGCGGAAGGCTGGATCCCCGGCTCCGTTTTGGGGCAAATTACTAAGACCTCTGCTGACAGTAGCGACAGAAGCATCAAGTAAGTGCCACACACGGCTGCCCCAGAAGCAGTGGTGGATTATGGGAAAATTTCTGCTGGTTTTTGTTCACAGTGCTGTCGGAAGAAATGCGTTTTTTGAATGTGGAGCCCTGCGAGCGCGGCCCTCCCCGCCGTGCAGGAAACTCGATTTCCCTTTTTTTATTTTTTTGTTTGTTTTTGATTTTTTTTTTTTTTTTTTTGATTTTTTTTTTTTTTTTATGTTGATAATTGTACAGATTTACAAGAAGGTTAAAAAAAATAAAAATAAAAATAAAGACGAGTTCTGTCATCGGTTTTGTACAGAACGTGGAACTGTCTGAACTGGACTCTGTGCCATATATTACGATTCTGTAAATTGGTGGCTTTACGTCGGACTAAAACCCACTCCTCGAAGAGGAGATTTCTCTATATTGTCTGTGGCAATTTTAATGTACAGCCTGTAACTTTTTTTTTTTTTTTTTTTTTTTTTTTCCTTTTAATTTGGACTTTTAATTTTCTGTTTTATTTTAATATATGTTCACGGTAAAACTGTAAAATATTTGGTTTTTTTCGAAGAGCCCCCTCCCCCCGCCCCCTTCCAAGTACATTCCTGTATAAAGTATTTTGCACTATTTAAGAGGAAAAAAAAAAAAAAAAAAAAAAAATAAAATCCCCTCCCCCCCCCCTCGGTCCTATTGATGACGTCAGATCGTGCAATATATAACGCTAGTCGCAATGTTCATCATTGTACCTGTATTGTAACTAATAATTTTAAATGTACTATTTTAAATATGTAAAATAAATTTTCACCAGGATGCGCATGTTTTCACGAGGTACTCACAGTTTTTTTTTGGACTTTTGCTTGTTTGGTTTTCTTGGTTTTATCACTAATGCCTGTTAATCGCTGGGGGTGTGTGTGTGTGTGTTGGGGGTGGGGTTCTCATCAGGGGTTCTCAAACTGTGGCCTGGCAGCAGGTTCTAGGTGGGCCCTGGTCACCTCTAATCCCCTACGTATGGGAAGCACTTCGAGTGAAGAGTCATATGCAGAAAAGATCCGGTTCCGGACCATAGAACTGGTCAAAGAATACAGCCAACGCTTTTCAGGGGGTTTGGAGCTCCTTCTTCAAGGCTCTCAGTGATAATGTTGGGTGTTACTGTGAAACCGCTTTTGGAGGCCGTTATACAGTTCATGGATCCATGAGTTATATAGTAGAGAGTCATTGTTATCTCAGTGTGCCAAAACTGGGTCTTTGTTACAACCCATGGAGCAGCCTTCCTCAACCGGGGTTCCTCCAGAGGTTGGTAAAGGTTCCTTGAGGAGTGGCAGATTGTCCTTCAGCCTGATGGTGCCTACAGTGTTCCAGAGCCATTGTCATTGTCCAGAACCAGAGGGGACATTCTTGACACCACTTATCCTTTTCTTCCTGTCTGTAAGGATGGCATTCTTCATTCTCCCACTGACCCCCAATGTAAGGGACATTCTTCCCACCCCCAATGTAAGGGACATTCTTCCCACTGACCCCATGTAAGGACATTCTTCCCACTGCCCCACCCAATGTAAGGGACATTCTTCCCACTGGTAAGGAACATTCTTCCCACTTGTAAGGGACATCCCACTGACCACCAATGTAAGGGACATTCTTCCCACTGACCTTCCCACCAATGTAAGGGACATTCTTCCCACTGACCATTCCCATGTAAGGGGACATTCTTCCCACTGACCACCAATGTAAGGGACATTCTTCCCACTGACCCATTCTTCCCCCACCCAATGTAAGGGACATTCTTCCCACTGACCCCCAATGTAAGGGACACTTCCCACTGACCCCCAATGTAAGGGACAATGTAAGGGACATTCTTCCCAAGGGGACATTCTTCCCACTGACACCAATGTAAGGGACATTCTTCCCACTGACCCCCAATGTAAGGGACATTCTTCCCACTGACCCCCAATGTAAGGGACATTCTTCCCACTGACCCCCAATGTAAGGGACATTCTTCCACACCACCAATGTAAGGGGACATTCTTCCCACTGACCCCCAATGTAAGGGACATTCTTCCCACACTGAAGGGACATTCTTCCCTGACCAATGTAAGGGACATTCTTCCCACTGACCACCAATGTAAGGGACATTCTTCCCACTGGTACATTCTTCCCACTGACCACCAATGTAAGGGACATTCTTCCCACTGACCACCAATGTGTAAGGGACATTCTTCCCACTGATCCCCAATGTAAGGGACATTCTTCCCACTGACCTTCCCACCAATGTAAGGGACATTCTTCCCACTGACATGTAAGGAACATTCTTCCCACTGACCACCAATGTAAGGGACATTCTTCCCATGTAAGGGACATAAGTAAGGGACATACTTCCCACTGACCTTCCCACCAAATGTAAGGAACATTCTTCCCACTGACCCAATGTAAGGGACATTCTTCCCATGTAAGGGACATTCTTCCCACTGACCCCCAATGTAAGGGACATTCTTCCCACTGACCCCCAATGTAAGGGACATTCTTCCCACTGACCACCAATGTAAGGGTTATTGCTCCTCCCACCACCAATGAACATATTTATGTAAGGGCGACTAATGACTGTAAATAATATATGGGTTCTTTTTATCCGCTCACCACCCTTCTGTGAACACTGATTCTGGTGTCGTTTCTCTACTGACCAGCAAAGAAGGGATGATTTGGAGGTGAATCAGTTGATATGGATAATAGATTTAAATTCCTTAGAGATGCCAAGTATCTGGATTTGGTAGCTCTCCACAAAGTGGAAGACCCTCAAAAAATGGGGTCACCCAGAATGCGTAGGCTATATAAAGTTGCATCAGAAAAATCCCCAAACGATCCAACAATCCAAAAATGACTTATTAATAATGGCCACAGAGAGACAACAGATATCTAATGAATTTTGTGGGTCCATAGATCCCCCTTCCTCATGGCAGGCAATGAATTGCTTTGTGAAGTCAGTGGTGGGACAATCGCCAGGGTTCAATTGCTTACTGTGTGAGTCAGATATGACCAGGATCAATGGCTCCATTCACTGATCCAGGTCCTATCTATAAATTGTTTCATGAGTTCCTTCGGGGCAGAAAGGTTGAGAATGGCCGTCGTAGACTGTGAAATGGTCTCCAAAAGTGGTTCTGTGGCAATGCCCGATCTTATTATGGTGGAAAAGTGCAAAAAAGAAAAGAGTAGAATGGAATGTAGACAAAGATCACCAAAGCCAAAGAACAACAATGTAACCAAGCCAAAGAAATGAAGAGAATCCGTACACTGCAGAGTATACAACGTCTGAGGATACGGGGCAGAGGTCAACCTTTACTGGTGCACGATGAAGGGATCTGAGAGTAGACATAGCTGCGACTTGTTGGAAAGTTCTCCGGACACCAGACGGCTTTGAGAACCCCTGAGACCCAGATGAGGAATACACTCATGGCCACTTTATTAGGTACACCTTGCTAGTGCCAAGAAAATCTCCCCCACACCATGACACCACCAGCTTGAACCGTTGATACAAGGCAGGATGGATCCATGCTTTCATGTTGTTTAGGCCAAAGTCTGACCCTACCATCTGAATTTCAGAGCTGAAATCCAGACTCATCAGACCAGGCAACATTTTTCCAATCTTCTGTTGTCCAATTTTGGTGAGCCTGTGTGAATTGTAGCCTCCGATTCCTGTTCTTAGCTGACAGGAGTGGCACCTTGTGTGGTCTTCTGCTGCTGTAGCCCATCTGCTTCAAGGTTGGTCGTGTTTTGCCTTCAGAGATGGTATTCTGCACACCTTGGGTGTAACGAGGGATTATTTGAGTTACTGTTGCCTTTCTATCATCAGTCTGCCCATTCTCCTCTGATCTCCTCTTCCACACAACTGCCGCTCATGGTTATTTTCTCTTTTTTCAGACCATTCTCTGTAAACCCTAGAGATGGTTGTGCATTCAAAGCCCATCTGGCACAACCAACCATGCCAAAGTCACTTAAATCCCCTTTTTTCCCCATTCTGATGCTCGGTTTGAACTTCAGGAAGCTATCTTCACCACATCTAGATGCCTAAATGCGCTGAGTTGCTGCCATGCGATTGGCTGATTAGCAATTTGGCTGTTACTAAGCAATTGAACAGGTGGACCTAAAAAAGTGGCCGCTGAGTGTATTCTACAGCCATAGGGAAAAGGCTGAAATATCCAGCAGGGAACACCATTTTACATCGATCGCTTCTCCAGATCAAGAACATTCAGATCTATATCGGATGCTAAACTGGAAAAAAAAGAAATTCTGTAAATTCTGTGAACTTGTATAAAATGTTCATTTACGGGTCTGCAGATTGTAAAGATTTCAGGCAGGCGAGGATCCCTGACCGGGGTATTATTAGGCAGGAAGAGTTTGCAGGAAGCCAGAGACCGATTCACGAAGCATCGGAACAGATGGAGCACGCAATTGCAATATTTTGTGTTTGAAGAATTCATTTTAATCTGCACTCGTGAGAATAGAAATGTGGGAGTGGCCATTACTGACCCGTATTGAAGTGCAGATTCCAGGGCTGTCATTCCCATCCTTGCTTCACTGCCGTGTAAGTCACAGACCTGGAACAAGCATGTATCTATTGAAATCTGGGGTCTGTCCTACATACTTCTTCCAGTAGGCTCCATTCATGGGTTTGGTGAATCATTGGCTTCCCCAAATATCTAAAGACAGATTTATCTGCAGGGATTCCTTCAATTTATGAAAAGGGATTGGCTGGATTCCTGATTAGCACATCCCACTTTCTGAGCGCACAAATCCAGCTGAATCATTTTAAAATCACAGATTTGCCCAATTTGTTCATCACCAGCCTTGACCAGGTAGTGAAGTAAGCTTTGAGGATTGACAGTCCCAGAGCCTGAGGCTTTAACAACCAGTCAGAACTGGTTGGTAATATTTATATCCTGACAAGTTCCCTTTAAACAATAACCCTCTATTTCCTTTAAAGATGTAGGTCAGCATTGGGCAGACTGTGCTGCTACACAAACATTG